CTCCCTTGTTATTCAACTTTTATATAAATGACCTAGCAACTCAGTTAAATCTTCCAGAATATCATCCCCCTAAATTGGCAAGCAAACACATTGCTATACTATTGTATGCGGACAATGCCGTGCTTCTCTCAAGGATACAGATAGGACTTAAGAGAATGATGCGGACACTTTTTAAATATTGCCAACAAAACCGATTGGAGATAAATTATGATAAAACAAAGGTCATATCCTTTGCTAATACACCAAAGAGGCATACCTGGTTTTTAAATCAAGTCCGCATTGGACAGGTACAACAATACAAATATTTGGGTGTTATTGTTCAGGCAAATGGGAAGAAAAACTCGCATATAAAGTATGTTGTATCTAATGCACAAAAAAGTGCTAGTGCAATACAAAAATTCTTTTGGACCAAAGGGAGGCAAAATGTGACAGCAGCCATCAAACTATTTATGGCAAAATCCTTGGCATAACTGACTACGGTGCTCCTTTTAGTGTTGTAGCAAACAGATCCATGATAGAAAAACTTGAAACTAAAATTTTAAAAGTCATACTATTTGTGCCAACCAATAAATCAAATGCAATGGTTCATCTGAAAACAGAACTAGTAACTATAGAGGCTAGACTGTCCTATCATATTGGTTAAAATTGAACCACACTAACTCTGGGCTCGCCCATTTGATATTAAAGGACAACTCTGTCTCCCCATGGATAGAACTGTTGGAGAACAAGCTAATTGGGGTACTATGGATTCTCACATCAGTATCTATGAGTTATAACCAAGCCAAAAGTCTGATCAAACATATTTAGTTCAGAAAACAGAAACCTGCCAACAAAGACAGCAAGGTTAAATATGGACTTCTGAAACTGAAAAGGTGTTAATTTTAACACTGTGACAGCTCACAGAATCGAAGTCTGATTATTTAAACAAGTACAGTACAGTGGATCCTCAACTTACGGAATTAATCCATATTGGAATGGTGGCTGCAGGTCGAAAATTCTGTAGGTTGAGGCTCCATTGACCTACAATGCATTGAAAATCGATTAATCTGTAACCGGACATTTTTGTTCTGTGTTTTTTTTTTTCCTGGTCTGTATGTCGATTCTCTGGCTGCAAGTCGAACCTAAATTTTGTGGCCAGAGAAGTCTGTGACTTGAAAAGTCTCTAAGTGGAGCTGTCTGTAAGTCAGGGGTCCACTGTACTTGAAATTCTTAAAAGTCACAAAGCTCATACATGGATATATGTTAAGAAAAGTCTCTTCTGCAGCTGATTTTCAAGAAGCAAAACACAGTCATGTTAGTGAAAGTACTCTTATTACCAATGATGTTTCATTTAAATAGAGAAACACTGAAAATCATTACAACTTTGCAAACATTAAGAAGCTGCCTTGTCACAAGTAATACCATTTCTACATTTATTTTGACATCTCTGCGCTTCTGTTCATAAGTAAGACTGATGTGATTTTTCCTTCTGTCAAGTGTAATCTCCAATGTTTTTCAGCTGAACTGCAAAGTCTTCCTCAACCAGCTTATTCCCATGTTCTCCAACTTGACTGGCATTATACAATGTAGTTCCTAATTTTTAAACAAAGCATACTGCCACCTGTGAGGCAGCAATACTGTCTGAATGACAAATCTTGTCCATTTGTCTAGCATTGAACATGCCAAGGATGCAATGTATGCTCCTTTGATGGACTGGAAAGCTTTCACACCTATTCTGGGACATGGCTTTCAGTTCAGAAATAATTCTAATGTGATCCGTACAATGTGTCACAAAAATGTGCCACTTCCACTCCCAAGAGTTACAGCCGACCAAGCCTCTGAGCACTGCACATGCACACACAAGTCAGACTGTAGCTGGCACTTGCCTTGCTAAACTTCTCAAATTTCAAAAAATCCTGGGATACAGAAGAAACAGAACCCTCACCGTGTTTGATGGAAATGCATCTACCAAGCATGCAAGGAACAGGTGAAGACTGGCAGCCTACATGAATGAATCTCCTCTGTCCATCATTCACTACATCAAGGAATCTCTTATGCTCTCCACGGAACTTAAATCCTGATTTTTCAGGTGTAAAATAGCATGGAGAGCCACCACAGAATGTCACCCACTGTGCATAAGTGGCAACAGAAATGGCAATATAGGACTCATACTTTCCCTTCTCGTGTGTTTAACATAGATGCTTTCGTGCTTCCTGAAGAGGGCTAGTAATTAAAGTCACTTATGCTGCTTGTAACTTTTTATGCTTTTGCCACAAAGAGGCTCTGAAACGTGATCACATCTCCATCTCCTGTTTTAGTCATTCACTAACTTCCTCTCATTTCCCAAGGGAGTCTACAGTGTACAATACTTTACAGTTCACCTGTCTTAGTTTTATTCCTGCCATGGGACTAAGAACAACTAAGGGTTTGTTTAAAACACCATGAAGCACTAGGATATTTTCTGTTGGAACTTTCTAATGAAGAACAAGTTTTGTTGTATATAAGGAATGGTAAAATCAAGAGCTCTTACAGATATATACTTTCATTGTCATGCACTTAAGAATAACCATGTAACTTTTTCAAGTTAAATATCCTTGTAAGTTTGTATACCCATGGACACAGCTACTCTATTTCTAAGGGCCAAAACTGCCTATGTGCTCCATTGGCTAACATTCCAGACAGTATCAAAATGATTATTTTTTGTGAACACAGCTGAAATTTGCCCTAGTCTATTGTTCTGCCATTATGGATCAGATTTTGCTTTGGCATTAATTCAAAACCAAGTATACAACCAGGGTGGAACTGATTTGATTAAAATAATGATTTAAATGAAAATAATTGTGAAAAATCATAATTTAATTTTAAAAATCAGATTTAATTTGTGATTTAAATCAAACCTGCTTTTTACCCACCCTGTATGTAAGCAATAGCTATCACCCAAAGATTCAGGCAAGGAGCACCCAACCCTACTAGGCATCTTTCTGCCAGTCAGAGAAGGCCCTGGATTTCTAATGCAAGACCTACCACTTGCTGTCTTTTGCCCTTTATCTGTTAGCAAGCAAGTATAAACATCCATGCATCATTATTTTTAGTGCAATCATCAGGATAGAAGTATACTGTTCATTTATTTCTCTGAATGCACTCTTATGTCCTTTATTTTATATAACAATTTTGTTAAGAAGCACATTTGAATCAGAGGAAATTCTATCTAGCCCTTTTCATGCCTCAGTTCAGGCAAGATACTAAGATCAAAAGTTTTTCCTCTGGAAATGGGAGATAATGACATTTCAGACAGTTCCAGTTATCAAAATCAAAAGGGAGAATCTGGTTTAAATCAAAGATGAATGTACTCAAAGCAAAGTAAGTTTATATTTCATTAATTTCAACATTTTTTATTTAGCACTGCACTGTCTCCTGCACACACACACCCAAAAAATCTAAACAAGCCCCAAAACAGAACTGGAAAGCCCATCAAATCTGCTTCCATGCCTCTTCGCAGCACAAAATCTGTCTAAAATGCAAGCCTACATCTTATTACACTGTCATGCAAAATAAGATGTGTTAATTTCTTTATCAGTGATAAAGAAAAGACTGTGGAAACTTAAGATCAGCCTTCCTCCCCTTCCCCCCAACACTGTTTACTTTTAACATTCCACCTGGTGAAGGGGAAAAAATTCCTAAAAGTTTGTGAGTTTTTTGTTTGTTTGTTTTTTGGGGGGGTGCCTCCACACACTTCTTTTAAATTCCTGGTTGACCTATAAAGTTATCGCCTCAGTACAGATTCTGGAATTTGTTCTATGAAAACACATTTATCACAACTTTGACGTATAAGCAAATAGCTCAGCATCAATGTGAACTAGTGTCTTCGACACTGAACTCTGATGGGCAGTGCTGGACCTTTCTCCCCCACCCACAACATACACACATGGAGTAGATTTTTATTATTTTAAAAAATCTCTGCCCCTCACTTAGCCAAACAGACTACTAGAGGAAACTCTAGCTGGCCATCTGTTCCATGCAAAATTCCGAACTCCACACATGCCACCATGAAAGCCTAAGGGGGTCAACGAAGCACTCATTTAAAACTCCTGTCGAGGGGTTTAACCTTTCCTCAGTCTTCCAACAGGTTGGGGACAGGAGGGAAGCAGGCAGGAAGCAAACAACTGACAACCAAGAGAGCCGCCACCCATTTCCTGAAGGCACCGGAATGATCCTGGTCCTCAGACTTCCTGTATCTGAGGAAGTGGACTGTGTTCCACCAAAGCTTGCATAGAAACACACGTATTGGTCTTCAAAGTGCCACCCGGCGTTGGTTTTTGCTTGTGTTATGCATCGCCATTTAAAAGTCACACACTCCCTGTTTAGGAAGTTTGGCTCCCCAGTCGCGGGCAGTGGTCGCGAGACGTCTGGGCATGGGCCCCCCCGCGCCGAGTGTAGGACGCCGACGCCAGACCGGAGCCGATTCTTGGCAGATTCAAATCCGGCCCCAAGACTGACCTGCGGCTCAACCTAAGCCTCCCCGACCTAGAAACGAGGGCACTCAAGCGCTGAGCTCCACTGAAAAGTCGATCGAGAGGCCTGTTACTACTCCCCTCCCGCCGCCCGCCACCCCCCGGGGGAGGCTGCGGTTCCATGCTCGCGTTTTACTTCCAAGCAAGTCCCCCACTGAAGCCATTGCGATTCAGAGCCGAGTAATCACAGATTAAGAGGAAGGGGTCGAAGTCAGAACCCCCCTGCCTTATGAAGTGCCCACCCCACCCCACCCCCACTGGCTCATCCGGTTCCCTGAGTAATGCCACTTATCCCATCAAAGACAGAAAGGGCTTCTGCCTGCATAAAAGCAAGCTTTCTCCAGTTGCCCCTAATCAGCCCCACTCGGAAAACGCATCCCAACCCTCCCCTCCCCTCGAAAGGCAACACGGAACAACATCCCCCCCCCTCTTTCTCTCTCTCTCCGCCACCGCAGTCCCCACCGTCCCCACAGTCTCTCGCTCGCGCCGGGCGGGTTCTTCCTTGCTCACCTGCGGGAAGGAGCCCTCGCGGCGGTGGTTCTTGGGGTGGTCCAAGTGGCCCCGATCCAGCATCAAGTAAAGGGAAAAGATCACGACGCAGAAGATCGCGCTGCCAAAGACCGTGAACTGGCGGCTGAGCTTCATCGCCGCCGCGCGCCGGGGCAGAGCGGGAACGAAAGAGAAAGGGGGTCTCCAGAGCCGCCGTCCCCCCTACAGCCCGCCCGGCGGAAGCGGCGCCGTCGCCTTCGTCCGACACCTGGCTCCAGCGAAAACTTCTCGGCCCGCCCGCTCACGAACAGTCCCGACCCCGCCGCCTGGCCGGAGCTCGACGGGAAGGGCAAAAGTTCCCTTCCGGGCCCAGGCAGTTAGCAAGCGGGGTCGGGACTAGGCAGCTTCCCGATCTCCTCGCTGGATCCCTCCGGCTTCCGATCTTCTTTCAAGAGGAGAGCCCGGCGCCCGAGAATCCGCTACCGCGCGGCGCAACGCCGACCCCGGTGACGCCTGCTAGAGAACCGCCCGAGAGTTTCCGGGAAGAGCGCGGACTCCACTTTCGCTTTGGAAGCTCCTCTCGTGGAGAGAGGCAGGAAGGAAAGAAGGAAGGAAGGAAAGCGACCGGGCGCCTGATCCACCCGAAGCTCCCACCCACCCCCCTCTCCAATCCCTGTGCTGGGAAGCGCCGGCTTCGGCGAGTCCCTCGGAGCGCCACCGGCGGCCGCGAGAGAAGCTCCCGGATCCCCCCCGAGCCAGCGCGGGGGAAGAGGAAGCG